CTTTAAAAACTCTCCCAAAGATGGGGCCTCACTCCTGCCTCTGCTGGGCTGGCTGGTTGGATGGGGTCCCTGTCGCGGCTTGTACTCCCGAATAAACCTTGCTTTTGCAGTTCAGGTGTGATAGACTCTCTGGGGGTCTCTGCGGGGATCTAAGGATCTGGGCACAACAACATATTGTAGCCACTGCAGGTATTTGATCCCTCCCATTCCTGAGAGGCTTGTTATTGTTATTGTTATTATCTGCTCTGTGACGGACTGGATTGTTTAGCTAAATCTGTTTTCTTTCCATTACCGTGAAGGCTCTGCTGTTCCTGCTCCGGGAGACAGGGCTCTGGGTGCTCCACAGTCACCCTGTGTGGGACGGTGGTGGTTTGGTGGCGCTCTCTTCTCTTTCCCTAACACATTCAGCCGTTTAACTCCAAAGCCATCTATTTCTGTGGGATTAGGTGTAAAAATGGCTACAGTTTACATCAGTCAGTGAGTAGGGGGAACACAGAACAAAATACCAGAGTGGAGGGCTTAACTAACAGAAAGTTGTTTTCTCACAGCTTTGGAGACTGGAAACTCAATATCAAGTTGCGGCAGGGTTGATTTCCCGTGAGCTCTCTCCTTGGATTGGGAGTGGCTGCCTTCTCACCATATCCGCATGCGGAGGTCATACGAGGTCATATTGCTGTCCGTGTCCCCAGGCTTCCGTCTGGAACCCTAAGGTAGGTGGAATTGTTCTGATCCACTGGAAGCTCTCCCCTTAATTCTCTCCTCCCCCCGCCCTTCACTCTGACTGCAGCTGGGGTCCCCATCTCATGACCTTTCTCTTTTTAACTTTTTAAAAAATCTTTCGAAGAATTTCTTTTACACCTATCATCACACAGCATGTTTTAAACGCAGATCTATAACTCTCTAATAAGATAAAGACAAAGTCTGCCTTATTAGAAACAAGACACTGCACCACGTAAGCCTTCAAACGTTATTGTACTTTAAGTCCAGGCTGCACAGCAAGAGCCAGCCGCAGTGCCGCGGCAGGGAGGGGCCCCGTGGGCCAGGTGCAAGGCCATGATTCGCGAAGCCTACAGATGTCAGCCCACCCACCTCTGAGTTGTGGGCTGGGCTGGTGATCCACTGGGTGTCGGGATTGCTTCTGGTAGCCTAGTGGAAGGGATGAATGAAGATAATCTCTTGTATGTGGAACCTTCCCCAACCCAGTAAGAATTTCAGGGCTCTCAGTCCCTTACAGTGGCACAAATCCTGCATCCGGCCTAGCCTGGCCTGGCCTTGGCTTGGTGTCTCAGTCCACGTGCATGGTCAGGCCGAGTGGGGCAGGGAGCTCTGTGGAGTGGACCCTTGTTACTGTGGATTCGTTGAGAGGAGGAGTGCGATGGGGGCAAGAGGTGTGGAGTCACCACACAGACCCCGGGAGTCACCTGAAAGCGCGCAGAGGCGTGCAGCCTGCAGTTGGTACAGCAGCTTAAATAGCCAAGGCAGCCAATCCGGTCAAGGGCGGTCTTTGCCCTAACCAATCTCAGCCCGTTGCCAGGCAGGCTCCGTTGCCAGGTGGTTTCCACAGCCATCCAATCACAGCCCGTTGCCAGGCAGGCTCCATTGCCCGGTGGTTTCCCAGGGGGTGTCGGAAGCCATTCCTAGTAACTGACGCTCTCTTGCCAGCGGCCATTCTTGGCATGGCCTTCTCATTCCACCACGGACCCTCAGAGACAAGGGCCTTGTATCCAACTGCTGCTTTCTCGTAGCTCCTGGATGTACGTGTGCGCGACCCCCCTCCCGCCCCCGGCTCAGCGCCTGCTGCTGCGACCCCTCTGGCCGTCCCAGGGAAGCCGCTAGACCTGCCTGCGGCGCTGACGCAGCTGCGGGGGCCCCGTTTCCCACACTCTGGCAGACACGGTGCGTGTCGGACGGCTCGGCTTTTGCCTTTTTTAGTGGTAAGCCAAACAAAAAAAAAAAAAAAAAAACAACTCTCAATATAATGCTTATTAATTTGAATGAATTGGCTTCTCCATTAACCTTCATCATGACACACTCTCATGACTGTGTTTTTGACTCATTGATTATTTACTTTATAACTTATCGACTCGTGATTCTTCATAATAATTAATAATAATTATCCACGAACCCAACACCCAATACAAATGTCTGACCCTGACCTTTGTTTAGAAGCTTTTAATTTGTTTCTCTATAAACTTTATTTGAGAAACATTTCCCAGATTCCTTTTTTTTTTTTTAAGATTTATTTGAGGCCAGTGGCTGCAGCTCACTAGGCTAAGTCCTCAGCCTAGCGGCGCCGGCACACCGGGTTCTAGTCCCGGTCGGGGCGCCGGATTCTGTCCTGGTTGCCCCTCTTCCAGGCCAGCTCTCTGCTGTGGCCGGGGTGCAGTGGAGGATGGCCCAGGTGCTTGGGCCCTGCACCCTGGGAGACCCAGGATAAGTACCTGCCTCCGCAAAGGAAGACCTTTCTCTCTGTCTGTCTCTCTCACTGTCCACTCTGCCTGTCAAAAAAAAAAAAAAGAAGAAAAAAGATTTATTTATTTGAAAGGCAGAGTTACAGATAGAGAGTGAGATCTTCCATCTGCTGGTTCACTCCCCAAATGACATAAATGGCTGGAGCTGGACCAGGCCAAAGCCAGGAGCCAGGAGCTTCTTTCCAGGTCTCCCATGCAGGTGCAGGAGGCCATCCCTCACTGCTTTCTCAGGTGCATTAGCAAGAAGCTGGATCAGAAGTGGAGTAGCAGGGATTTGAACCAGTACCTATATTGGATGCAGCTGGCAGCTTTACCTGCTATGACACAGCGTGGGCCCCTCATTTTTCTTGTTGTTGTTGTTGTTTTTTATTTAAATTTACTTATTTGGAAGGCAGGATTACAGAGAAAGAGAGAAAAAGAGAAAGAAGTAGCCCTTCTTTATTTGTGTTATGCCAGCTTTTGAGAGGATATCCAATTAATGATTGACAAGGCCAAAGTCAAGGAGATTCCCCCCTGTGTTTTCTTCTAGCGATTTTGTAGTTTCAGGCCTCATATTTAGGTCTTTAATCCATTTTTGAGCCAATTTGGGGTGTAGATAACATACAGGTCTAAATCAACCCTTTTGCACATAGATATCCAGCTTAGCCAAAGCCATTTATTGAAGAGACGCTCCTTTCCCTGTTGTACCATCTTGATTGGGCTTTCAGAAATTTACTGCCGGTATATACTTGTTTATTTCTGGGGTCTCCTGTTCTGTTCTGTTGGTCTGTATGAGTCCATTTTCATGCCAGAACCAATACTTTTGACTGCCACAGCTTTGTAACATAACTCGAAATTAGGAAGTGTGGTGTCTCCAGGCTTGTTTTTTCTTTCTCATGGTTGTTTAGCTATTAGAGGTCTTTTGTGGTTCTGTATGAATTTCAGAATCTTTCTCTATTTCTGTGAAAAATACCATTGCAATTTGATAGTGATTTCATTGAATGTGTATATCACTGTGGGTAGTATGAACATTTTAGCAATATTAATTCTTCCAAACTACAAACATGGAATATATTTTCATTTATTTTATCTTCTTGAATTTCTCTTATTAATGTATCATAGTTTCAGTGTGTAGATGTTTTGCTTCCTTGGTTAAATTCATTCCTAAATACTTTATTCTTAATGCTATTATATGATTTCTTCTTCAGATAGGTTGCTATTTGAAATGTATATAGAAATGCAGTTGACTTTTTCAGTGTATTTGTATGCTGTAACTTTACTGAATCCATACGTTAGTGCTTGTATGGAATCTTTAGAATTTCCTACATGTGGATTCATGTCAGTTGCGAGGAGAAGTAATTTTACCTCCTCCTTTTCCGACTGCTGTGCCTGCAGCTTCTTTCTCTCATCAGGTTGCTCTTGCCGGTATTTCCAGCACTGCGCAGGAACCACAAGAGCATGCTTCATCCTGGTGGACCCCAGTCCTAGAGCAAAATATTTCTATTTTCTCTCATTGTTTATATTAGCAGTGAGTCTTTCAGAAGTGGACTTTATCATGTTGAGGAAGTTAGCTTCTGTTTTGTTGAAAGTTTTTATTTTTACCATGAAGTGATGTTGATCTTTGTCAAATGCATTTTGATATCTATTGATATGATCTTCAATTCTTTTAATATGGTATATCAAATTGATTATTTTCAGTTTGTTACACTAGCCTTGCATCCGTGGGATAACTCCCATTTTGTAACAATATATAATATTTTTGATGATGAATTAGTTTGCCAATATTTTATTTCTCAGTATTTTTTTAAAGATTTATTTTATTTATTTGAAAGAGTTTCAGAGAGAGGTAGTAAGAGATAGGTTTTCCATCTACTGGTTCACTCCCCAGATGGCCACAACAGCCAGAGCTGCGCCTATCTGAAGCCAGGAGCCAGGAGCTTCTTCCTGGTCTCCCACATGGGTGCAGGGGCCCAAGGACTTAAGCCATCTTCTACTGCTATCCCAGGCCACAACAGAGAGCTGGAATGAAAGAGGAGCAGCTGGGACTAGAACCAGCGCCCATATGGGATGCCGGCACTTCAGGCCAGGGCTTTAACCCGCTGCACTACAGCGCCACACCCCACCCCCCACCCCACCCCGTCAGTATTTTTTGCTTCTGTAGTCATTAGACATATTGGCCTGTAGTTTTATTTTCTTGTGATGTCTTTATTTGGCTCTCATCTCAGACTGATGCTAGCCTCATAGACAGAGTTTGGAGATAATCCCTCATATTTTTGGAAAAGTTTAACAAGGATTGGTGTTAATTTTTTCTAGTCAGGTAGAATTCATGCTGAAGCCTTCTGGTCCTAGGCTTATCTTTGTTGAGAAGTTTTTGATTACTGCTGTGATCTCTTTATTTGTTATTGGTCTGTTCTGGCTTCTATTTTTTTTTCATATCAATTAGACAATTTTTACTAAATGAGAAAGTACATTTAAAATGTGTTTTAAAAAATAGAATTAGAGGCCGGCGCTGCAGCTCAATAGGCTAATCCTCTGCCTGTGGCGCCGGCACACCGGGTTCAAGTCCCAGGTCGGGGCACTGGATTCTGTCCAGGTTGCCCCTCTTCCAGGCCAGCTCTCTGCTCTGGCCTGGGAGTGCAGTGGAGGATGGCCCGAGTGCTTGGGCCCTGCACCCGCATGGGAGACCAGGCTCCTGGCTTCGGATCAGTGCAGTGCACCGGCTACAGCGGCCATTGGAGGGTGAACCAACGGTAAAGGAAGACCTTTCTCCCTGTCTCTCTCTCACTGTCCACTCTGCCTGTCAAAAAAAAAATAGAAAAAGAAAAATAGAATTAGAAAAAAAAGACATATGCAGTTTAAGGAACCTTTGCACTGTGCCGAAAATCAAACATTTCTTGCAGTAATACAGTGGGCCAACTCATAAACTGTAAGTTAGCAGAGTTCTCAATTTAACATTTTCGAGGACAATATTAAGGTCAAGAATTTCACATCTGTGGTAGCACATATAGAGGGGCATTATAAATGTGATGTCCATCCCTACGAAGCTTACAAATTTGACAATGCTCAATAAAACCACATCCAATAGTTTCGCATCCAAACAATCACAATTCTATTTCTTTTGATTCAGTCTTGGCAGGTTGTAATTTTATAGAAATTTAATCACTGGGGCCAGTTTTGTGGTGTAGTGGGCAAGGCTGCCTGTGATGCCAGCATCCCACATGGGCTCTGGTTCATGTCCTGGCCACTCCACTCTGATCTAGCTCCCTGCTAATGGCCTGGGGAAAGCAGTGGAAAATGGCCCAAGTGTTTGGCCCCTGCTACCCATGTGGGAGACCTGGATGAAGCTCCTGGCTCCTGGCTTCAGCCTGGCCCAGAGCTGCTGTTGCAGCCATCTTGGGGTGTGAACCAGATGATGGAAGATCTCTTATTCTCTCTCTCCCCCTTTTTCTCTGTAGCTCTTTCAAAATAAATAAAATAAATCTTTTTAAAAAATATATTCATTATTTTTTATGTTATCCAATCTTTTGTCTTATAATTGTTTATAATAGTCCCGTATGAACCTTTCCACTTCTGAAGCAAGCTTTTCAATGTCTCTTCTTTCATTTTTTTATTTTATTTAAGTCTTTTTACTTTTTTATTTGTTTGTGTGGCTAAGGACCTATATTCTCAAAACTCAACTCCATATGTGCTAATTATTTTCCTATTTTTTTCTGTTCTCTGTTTATGTTGACATTTTATTTCCTGCCTTCCACTGGATTTAGTTTTTTCTTCTTCTAGTTCCCTGAGGTGTAAACTTAGGTTGCTTATTTGAGATCTTTATTTCAATATAGGCGTCCCATACGTTTTGGTAGTATTTATTTTTTATTTCATCCAGTGAGAGATTTTTTTCAATTCCATTTTGATCACCTCTTTTACCTAGTGGCTGCTCATGTGCAAATTAGTTTACATATGTTTGTGAATTTCTTGCTCTTATTGGTTTCCAGTTTCATTTCATTGTGGTCAGAAGAGAGACTTGGAATGATATTAATCTTCTTAAATTATTTTATGATCTAGCACATGGTCTGTCCTGGAGAATGTTCTGTGTGTACTTGAGAAGAATGTGTAAAGAATTATACTGGTGAAAATTTGCATTATATTTAAGTCTATTAGGTATACAATGTTGTCCAAGTCCATTATTTATTGATTTTTCAATCTGGATTTTCTGTTATTTAAAGTGAGCTGTTGAAGTATTCTATTATTATATTGCTATCAATTTCTTCAGTAAAGTAGATCAATAATTGTCTTATATACTTGGGTGCTCTGAGGTTGGATATAATATATATATGTTATGTATCATTGTTATATATCATGTTGTAAAAATGTAGTATAATGATCTTTGTCTCTGGAGACAGTTTTTGATTTAAAATCTATTTTGTCTGATATTGGTATAGCCAACCCTGCTCTCTCTTGGTTCCTATTTGCATGGAATATCATTTTCCATTCCCTTACTTTTGGTTTATGTGTATCTTCTCAGGTGAAGTGAGTCTCTTGTAGGTAGCATATGCTTTGGTCTTGTGTTTGCTCCATTCAACCATTCTGTTTCTTGCAATTAGAGAATTTAATATATTTACACTTGAGGTAATTATTAAGTACAGATTTACTACTGGCACCCTCTTATTTTCTAGTTGTTTTATAGATCCTTTCTCCCATCTTACAGTTTTCCTTTGTGATTGATTTTTCTAATAGTGATTCTTTGCTTTTTATTTTGGTGTAGGTGTAGGTTTTTGCTTTGCAGTTATCTGGCTTAGCAGAAAAACACAGTGACAACAGGCTACTTTAAACTCACAACAACTCAACTTTGTATAAAAAGAAAATTCTGTTTTAAGTCTCCCCATTTTGAATTTTTGATGTAACAATTTATATTTTTTAAGGATTTGTCTATTTAATCTAAAAGGCAGAGTTACAGAGAGAGAGAGAGAGAGAGAGAGAGAAGCTGAAAGATCTCCATCCCCTGGTTCACTCCCCACGTGGCTACGGCAGCCAGAGCTGGGCCAATCCAAAGCCAGAAGCCAGGAGCTTCTTCTGAGTTTCCCATGTGGCTTCAGGGACTGAAGCACTTGAGCCATTCCCTGCTGCTTTCCCAGGCCATGAGCAGGGAGCTGGGTTGGAAGTGGAGCAGCCGAGACTCGAACCAGCACCCACAGGGGATGCCAAAGTCACAGGTGGAGGCCTACCATGCCACAGCACCCGCCGCAACAGTTTACAATTTTATGTTGCATATCTTTTAATTCTTTTAGTAAGTGTTGATAGTTTGTCTTTTAATCTTCATACTAAAGATATGTAGCTTATATACCATGATTACAGTACCATTCAGAGTATTCTGAATTTACTGTTTACTCCCTATAGCCATCGAGCTTTCAACATTCAGATGTTTGCATGTTACTAATTAGAATACTTTCAGCGTGAACCCCTTTTTTGCATTTCTTGTAAGATGGGTCTGGAGGTGATGAACTCTCTCTCCGCTTTTGTCTGTCTGGGAAAGCCTTATCCCGCCCCTCATTTCTGAAGGATGGCTGTACTTGGTACAGTATTCTCCAATGATAGTTTTTTCCTTCAGCAATTTAAATATTCCATCCTGCTTTTCCCTGGCCCGTAAGGTTTCTGCTGAGAAGCCTGTAGTCTGTTTCTAGGCTTATGAGTGCTTCCTTAGATGTCACCTGCTGCTTCTCCCTGTTGCTTTCAGGATCCTGTCTTTATATGTGACTTTTGACAGTTTGATTAGCGTAAGTCTTGGGGTAGTCTTATCAGGATTGAGTCTCATTGGTGACAGTTGGTCTTGTACCTGGGTACCTGTCTTCAGATTTGGAAAGTTTTATGCTTTAAATAAGTTTTCTACCCTTTGTGTTTCTCTCTTCCCTCTTGAACTTCAATGAACTCAAAATTTGCTCTTTAGATGTTGTTCCACAGATGGCATAAGCTTTCTTCATCACTTTTCGTACGTTTGCTTTTTGTTCCCAATGGAATCTGTGGCTTGGAACAGTCTGGTGATCTCACTGACTTTTATGCAGTCAGTGTGCTTTATTAAACTTTTCATTTCATGCATTGTTTCTCAGGTCCAAAATGTGTTCAACATTTCTGTCACAACCTCTATGTTAAATATTTCTGCTTACATTTTTGAATTATTCCCTAAGTTTGCTGAACTTCCTTAAACTAGCTGTTTTTGAATTCTTGGTTGGGCAGATCACACATCTGCATCTCTTTGGGGTCAATCACTGGCACCTCTTTTGCTCATTTGGTGATGCCATGTTTCTCTGACTGTTTTTTTTTTTTTAAACATTTATTTTATTTATTTGAAAGACAGAATTACAGAGAGAGGTAGAGACAGGGAGAGAGGTCTTCCACTCACTGGTTCACTACCCAGAGGGCCATAACGGCTGGAGCTGCACTGATCCGAAGCCAGGAGCCAGGAGCTTCTTCCTGGTCTCCCATGCGGGTGCAGGGGCCCAAGGACTTGGGCCATCTTCTACTGTTTTCCCAGGCTGTAGCAGAGAGCTGGATCAGAAGTGGAGCAGCCGGGACTCGAATGGGTGCCCATGTGGGATGCTGGCACTTCAGGCCAGGGCTTTAACCTGCTGCACCACAGCACCGGCGCCTCTCTGATTGTTCTTGATCCTAGTGGTCATGCATCATTGTCTCTGTACTGACAACGCTGGTATTCATACTGATCTTTGCATTCTGGCTTTTTCTGTTACATCCTGTCGTAGCAGGTCTCGGAATTCAGAGAAGATTATCTGTTGTGATTCCCTAAACCCAGGCTTCAGACCTGTTAGTGGCTAGGTACCAGGATGATTGCCCACTTCAGGGCAGTGCCTCTGTTGCCAAGCACACAAGTTAACTTCAACTAGGTCTCTGTAAAGGTTCCTGTGGCTCACTGGTTGGGTGCCTTAGTGGCCATACTTGAGTTGGTGGTTGTAGTGAGCTATAACTGAGGTAAGGGCTGTTTCAGGTCCACAGCCAAGACAGTTCTCAGGCCCGTCTTCAGTGTCACAGACAGCTGTGTCTCCCAGCGGGTTTGGGAGTGAACAGGCCTTTTTTCAGACTGGATTTTCGAAGGACTAGAGACCATTTATAGGGCTGTTGCATTGATTCACAATGTAACAAGGGTCAGGCTGTGTGTCTAGGGGTTCTACTGGGTTTCTAGGTGGGTAGAACTGCTATCAGCCAATAGACAAACGGGGCCAGAGCCAAGTTTCAGGGGTGCTTGACGAAATACTGGGGGCAGAGGTTGGCAAGCCTACCAAGGAGACTCGGCAGGCCATGTCTCCTGGCAGGAACCTGGCTGGGTAGAATTGATGCAGGACCACAGCCAGCAGGAACTGAAACAGCTCCGGTGATAATACAGGATCTGTTGTGGAACCAGTATTGGCAAATCCAAACTGAGGGCAGCAGTGTCCATTTGGTCTTGGGTGTTAAGACCTCTGTTTCCTAGTTGGTTTTCTCTTTGTATGTTTTATTCATTATTGAAAGTGCAGTATTGAAATTTTGTATTATTGTTGGAGGATTTTTTTCTCCTTTGAGTCCTGCCAATGTTTCCTCTATATATTTTTGTTCTCTTATGTTGAGCTTACATATATTTATTTTTTCTATTTGTAGTAATTTGTCCCTTGTATCAGTTTATAACATCCTTCTTTGTATTTTGTGATAGTTGTTGACTTAAAGTCTATTTTGTCTGCTATAAGTGTAGCTATCTCTTGGTTGCCACTTGCATGAAATATTTTTCCATCCGTTCATTTTCAGATTATGTGTGTCTTTAAATCTAAAATGAGTTTCTTGGCCGGCGCTGTGGCATACTTGGCTAATCCTCCGCCTGCAGCACCTGCACCCCCTGCACCCCAGGTTCTAGTCCCGGTTAGGGTGCCAGATTCTGTCCCAGTTGCTCCTCTTCCAGTCCAGCTCTCTGCTGTGGCCCGGGAAGGCAGTGGAGGATGGCCCAAGTGCTTGGGCCCTGCACCCGCATGGGAGACCAGGAGGAAGCACCTGTCTCCTGGCTTTGGATCGGCGCAGCCCAGCCACAGTGCACTGGCCGTAGCGGCCATTTTGGGGGTGAATCAATGGAAAAGGAAAACCTTTCTCTCTCTGTCTCTCTCTCTCACTGTCTAACTCTGTCTGTCAAAATAAATAGATAGATAGATAGATAGATAGATAAATAAAATGAGTTTCTCACCGACAGCATATAGTTGGGTAAATTTTGATTCATTTAACTACTTTGTCTTTTGATTAGGGAGTTTAACATATGAACATTTGAAGTGATTATTGATAAGAAAGGATTCATTATTATTTTGTTCATTGTTTTGTTAGCTTGTTACCTTAGTTTCTGAAGGATTTATTAATTCTTATTTTTTGTCCTCTAACCTGCTCTCATATTCTTACTTGTAACCCCCCAAGTTTTAACTATGATATAGTCATTTGTCATTCATATTTTATTATCAATTCCCTTGAAGGAAGCATGTCTTTTGAGCCATGTCACTTGGCTCCAGTGTAATGTCTAGGATAGAATCTACTCAGTGAAATATTCTCGCAACCTGAGTGAGGTGCTTGTGTTTCTTCCCCACCAGCTTCCATGGCTCATCCCGATGGTAGATTGCCATAGGGAAGATCATCCTCGGAGGAGTTCGGTCTGGTGGAGATACATAAGGGCTCCACATCTGTGGGAAGTTGTAAGGGGAAGGGGAAAGCCAGGTTGCTTTTCCAGCTAGAACTTACTGAGGAATTTTATTGGAAAGAGTATCTTTTCTGATTGTTGTGAAGCATGAAAACACTTCTATATAATATGCACTATATAATATAGCTATGTAATATGCACTATATGGTATGCACTATATAACATGCACTATATAATATCACTATATGGTGTGCACTATACAATATGCACTATATAACATGCATTATATAATATGCACTATGTAACATGCACTATATGGTATGCACTATATAATATCACTATATGGTGTGCACTATATGATATGCACTATATAACATGCAGAAATTGCCAACAATTACAAGGCAGCCTTGACTTTTTCTTCCTTTGTTCCTCTAGACCCAGCTGGATGTGTGCCATCCTCTCTAGTTGAGGCGACAGTGTGAGGAAATGATTTCCCTAAGTCTCAGCTAAAAAGAAAGGCATTAATAAAACATTTAATTTTTTTTTATTTGACAGGTAGAGTTACAGACAGTGAGAGAGAGAGACAGAGAGAAAGGTCTTCCTTCTGTTGGTTCACTCCCCAAATGGCCACCACAGCCGGAGCTATTCCGATCTGAAGCCAGGAGCCAGGTGCTTCTCCTGGTCTCCCATGCAGGTTCAGGGCCCAAGCACTTGGGCCATCTTCCACTGCACTCCTGGGCCACAGCAGAGAGCTGGACTGGAAGAGGAGCAACCAAGACTAGAACCGGTGCCCATGTGGGATGCCGGCACCGCAGGCAGAGGATTAATCAAGTGAGCCACAGCGCCGGCCCCACATTTAAATTTTTTTAAAGACAAAAATTTCCGAATATGTTTTCCTGTGCATAGCCAGGAGGGAGAACCCGGAGGGGAGAACGAGACTTTCCTGTGAACCTCACTTCTTGTGAGGCCGCTGTCCCTTACACCCAAAAAAGAGAGTTCAGGTGTCAGCATGTGCAGTTACAAAGTGCAGCTGTGCCACATGAATTTGGTGAAATACAGAACCCAAAAAGGTAAGTTGTCTACCTCAATGTATCACTGTTCATATAAGTCAGTTCCTTCCTCCACAGCTGAGAAAAACAGCAAAGAGGATCACTGAACAAGAGCAAGCAGATACAGATCCTAGATAGACCCTACAGATCTTTCACTTAGAGTTGCTTAGGTATTGTTTATTTCACTATAAGAAAGTAAATAGATCAAACACCAAGCACTCGGCTTGCTTTCTCTCTCCATCTCTCTCTCCCCCTCCTTCTCTCCCTTCCTCACCAAAGCTGAGCAAAACATATAACCAAAGAGGACTGATGAACAAGAACAGGGATGTTTAGATCCTAGCTAGATCCTAGATGTCTTTGCAAATATTAGATATTATTTCTTTCACTGTAGGAAAGTGAATAGGTCAGGCACCTCTCTCTCATATATATATATATATATATACACACACACATACATACACACACACACATATATATATACATGCACTTACTATATATATTTTTTATTTTTTTTGACAGGCAAAGTGGACAGTGAGAGAGAGAGACAGAGAGGAAAGTCTTCCTTTGCCGTTGGTTCACCCTCCAATGGCCGCTGCGGCAGGCACACTGCGCTGATCCGAAGCCAGGAGCCAGGTGCTCCTCCTGGTCTCCCATGGGGTGCAGGGCCCAAGCACTTGGGCCATCCTCCACTGCACTCCCGGGCCACAGCAGAGAGCTGGCCTGGAAGAGGAGCAACCGGGACAGAATCCGGCGCCCCAACCGGGACTAGAACCCGGTGTGCAGGCGCCGCAGGCGGAGGATTAGCCTAGTGAGCCACAGCACCGGCCTTACTATATATATTTACATATGTATAGTTTCTTCATAATATGAATTTTCCATGAACTCTTTGGAGACTTTGTTTGTGCATGGATTTTACATTTTTGGTACCAAATTAAACTTATGTTTCAATTCTATTTTCCATGAACTTTCACTCATTCATTTATATATTAAATATATAAATTTATATAAGTATAAATTATATATATATATATATATATATATATATAATCTGCACCATTGCAACAAAGGGCAGCTATAGGCAGCAGGGAGTCTGGCCAGTCTAAGAAAAACTGGCCCATAGCTTGGGTCTGCCAAACTAGCCATTCAGGCCAAGCATGGCATGGTTGATACTTACCAATCTTTTTCTTCTTTCCACAGTGGGCTTTTTCAAGGCCAGTGTGTTGACTTAGGACAAGCCCCACCTGGAACCTTACCCCGTGAGACATACACAAGCATCCTGAACTGTTGTGCCTGTCGCTTGCTCTGGGATGACGGAGAAGTGTTGAAGTTCGTGTGGCGTAACTAGAAGGGACTCTGTCTTTCCAGTAAGGCAAGGCCCACTCATGGCGCTTAGTGGTCACCTAGGACTTCTCGATGGCTTTTGCTTATAGTTGCTGAAATACTATGCCTTTCACTAGAAGAAAGCAAATGGGCCAAACATTTCAGTCTCCAAAGAAACCTTAGGCAAAGGGAACCTCAAGGAGAGACTACCGTTTGCTATTCTCACGCCAGAGACACATTTGCTGAGGAGGAGAGCAGCCAAATGGCTGACGTCTAGGCATTTCTGGAGGGATGCTCACTGCTCCACGTCAGTGGCGGTAGTGCTCAGACAGTCTGAGTGAAGGTGAGAAGTGTCTTCCTAAAAGTGTGTGCTGTTGTCCTGGGATGCCTCCCTAGAAGGGCTCGGCCTCCAAGCGTCCCTGCCCTCTGAATGATGGCGAGAACACAAGTATCCTGTAGCACAGCCATGGTGGTATACTTCCTCCCATTGTACCACATATGCTGTGGGCTCTGTGTCCCAGGTGCTCTGAGCGTAGTGTGTCCAGTCAGACAGGGTGCTATCCCCTCAAACAGCACAGGTGGACAGGGCGCTACCCCTCAAACAGCACAGGTGGACAGGGCGCCACCCCTCAAACAGCACAGGCGGACATGAGGTGTCTCCTGGAGCACAGGGACAGAAGCGTCTCTCTGACGAATGTCTCCTGAGTGGTGAAGGACCCTCCGATAGTAACAGATTTGCTCAAACCAGATGGACCCCCAAGTGCTCCAACCATTCCACATGTGGGTAGCGTTGGCCCCTTCCATTGCAACACATGTGCTCTGGACCCAAGGGACCCAGGTGCTCTGACTGTAGGTGAGAACACGAGGATCTCCAAGCACAGGTGTGTTGGACTACAACGTACTCTCCCAGTGTACTCTGGCAAGGCGTTCCCTATGTAGCCTGCCCCTAGGCATGAAGCATTTCTAGAGAGGTCTGATGCTGGCCTCTCTCACTGCCCCAGATGCGCTTTGGCACAGGCGCTGGCTGCTCTAAACGCAGAGTGTTCCTCGTCAGTGCCGCTGCTTAGCAATGCCCAGTAGTAGTGGTATGTTTTGGCCCAGCTGGCAGCAGGTCCTTTGGCTACAGACAGGAAAGATAGTGTCCTGGGGGCAGATTTGCTTTCAGCAGTGCTGGTCTCCAGTTGCAACAGGGGTGGGTGCTATAGACCCACAGGACCGCAGTGCCCGGGGCTGTCATGAGCTGCGTTGCTGGGTGTCCCACTTCGCCTTGCTCCAAAGCTGCCTGCTCCAGACGTGGAGCTGCAGCCCACGCCAGACACAATGACCCCAAAGCTGCAGCTTACCCAGAGGGCTGCAGATCCCACAAATGCAAATTGGCCTGGATTAGTGTTGCAAAAGGTGGGCAATAGGCCTCAGAGTTGTGTATGTCAGTGGGATGCGTGGCATGAAAGAGTGACCGCACCAGTGAAAAATCGGCCCCGGTGTCACCAAAGGCTGGCTGGGTGCTGACAGGGATACCACAGGTGGAATGTGAGAGCATCGATGGGCACCTATGCTGTCACCGGGTCCGTGGACTGCAGTGGGGGTGAGGCCGGGCACTTCTGCTGAGCCTGTAAGGTTTCCCAAAGGGAAAGAATTGATAAAGATGTCAGAGGGAGACTCAAAGACAACTTGCTAGGTTCCGGTGTGGTGTCCCTAGCGATGTCATCAGAGTCAAAGCCAAGTTTGGCCACCTGTCTGAAGAGCGGCTGCCTACTCGAGTGAAGGCGACTGTGGAATCCCTGGCAGGTGGGCCAGAAAACAGGACACCGGGCGGAGTAGCTCTCCGTTGCTGTCCGTCAGGACCCCAGGATTTCAGCTGAGGGGTGGTTCCTGGTTCAAAGGGGAGGTTTTAAAATTGGCTGGAGCAGCTGAGCATGGAAGCAGGTGGAGTGGTGGAGACGTGGCCTTGGTACGGGAGTGTCTGCTCCGGCTGGCCCTGGCGGATGAGGGGAAGCTCACACGGGGTCACCGTGGAGCCAGGAAGATAGAGTGGTGTCTGCGCCAGTTATAACGCAGTCTGCAGCTGGACTGCCTGGGATGGTGGAAGCGAGTGCGGAAGCCATGACGGGCCGGCCGGGGAGACAGGGCTACAGGTGGAGGGGGCTTGAGGAGGGCTCTGTGGGTCCCCATAGGAAAAGAAGGAGGAGGCCGAGTGGCCCTGCTCTCTGAAGAGGCCTCGGTGTCCTCAGCCACTTTGTGGTTCCATTAAGGCTCAGTGTTCTCTCCCAAGCCTAGGTCTTCTTCAGTGACCATACAAAGGCGGGTGGTGCAGCCAGCTCTCTCCAGGGCGGCAACAGGGGCAGCTGAAGCATCAGCAGAGGCCTTGGAGGCCTCTCCGTACAGAGCCCGCAGCTGGCAGACGTGAGCAGAGGCGGCCTCTCTGCCAGGGTATCTGAAAGCTCTCCTCTCTGGCCCTCCTTCTTTGACCCCGAGGAAGCTGGGAGCTGAGTTGAGGAATGGCTTACCTGTGGGGCTCTTCCTGTCTCCGGTAGCAGGAAGGAGACTATGTCCTGCTGTCGAGAGACCCTAACCCAGTGGGCAGGGCTGTAAGAGCTGGTGACAGCTTGGCCTTTGGCGAATGAGCTTCCTAGAAGACGTCTGGGATATCTTGCCTCAGCTGCCTTCTGGGTCCGTGGAGTAGAGTTTCCAACTCAGAGAGGCAGGACCTGCGCCCAGATATGTGATGACTGCAGTTGTCCCCAGGGGCCTAGATGCTGGAGGGACACTCCACTGCCCTGGGGGCTCCTCTCCTGACAGCCCTGCCTTGCGGATACTGTTTGGTCGCCTTCCTCCTCTGACCCCTCTGCTTCGTGCTTCTAGTGGCTTCATCTCAGTCTCCTGATCTGGCAGGGGATTGGCTGTTGCACAGGTGACTGGCTGACCAAGTGACAAAGGGAAAGCGTCCGTTTGTGCCTTGGAGGAGGGATCACTACCAACCCAGGGTGGTTAGAGACTTTGAGATATAGGCAGAGAGGATCAGTAAGCTTCCCGATGGGACTGTCACCTCTATAGTGTTGCGTAACACTGGTGGGGTGAGGCACACTTCAGTGAAGCTGCCGGGGGTAAAGCCAGCCGGGCGACTCCAGCCACAAGAGGGTCAGTTGACAAGGTGTGCTACTCTGTGGGTGGGGTCCGGGGACTTAAGGGGGGAGCGGGCCGAGGCCTTCGCCCTCAAAGGGCTGGTTGTATGCTGTTGGATCCTGGGAGCATAGTAGGAAATGGCTCCTCCACAGTGGACAACACACCGATCAGCTTGATGCATGTGGAACACAGGACGAACAGAGCACAGGCTAGTGGTCCACCAGTGAGAGACACAAACACAGAAGTGCCGGAGGACAGGGGGTAAGGCCCAGAATCTGAACCTCGTCAGGGATTTCTCGTGCTTCCTGACTTTCCCACCCCCGGGCGCAGGCAGTTGGCACCAGACAGTCTTGGCGGTCACAACAGGACTGTTCCAGACCGTGAAGTCCAGGAGCTGCGTAACTGTCACCCCCAGGACGTCACAGCTGCAGGATCCTCAGGGCAGCCTGTGGTTGGGTGTCAGCCAGCTCTAGAAGATAGTGCCAAGTCAAAGCCAGGCCAGGAGAGCAACCTGGATCTGGCCAGGAAGGGGACTCGGCTGCAGGAGGTCAGGGTAGGACACAGGTGCACTGGGGAGACCAGGGGCTGGCCCTGCCTCGTGTGTTACTGTGTCCCCACGTGACACGGCAGTGACCGGGCCTCCTCAACCACACCCACACAACAGCGGCACTAGCAGCAGCCATGGCAGTAAGAGTGGCATTGAAGATGCCTGTGTGTGTACAGGGCCTGCCACCAGCGAATGTGAGTGGAGAATTTCCCCGTGAGGGACTGCTGGAAGCCTTCCTGCTGTCCTCTCTGACTTTAATGAGGCTGCAGAGCCGAGTTTCTCTCGGCCTCTTCCTGTCACGCAACCACCACCAATGACACAGGCGAGCCCCCGCCTCCTGCATTCTGGTAGCCCAAGGCCAAGGCTCAGAACACTGGCTCCCTTGGAGACGCCCCTAGCTCCTCTGTACTTCCTAGAGTCAGCACACGCCTTCCTGGAAAGGCCCAGTGTGCCCAGCATTGCTGGCTGGACCACGCAGGCTTCTGAGGTAGAGACCTGGATACTGCATCACACCCTTTCCAGGCTGTCTGACTCCAGAGCTCATGCATTTTGCCAGCAGATTTGGTGCCTGTTCACCACACAGCCTTCACGTTTCACTGTTTTTTTGATCATCCTTAATGCTACTTACAAATAATGAACACAGGAGGAGGTCATCTTTGGTTCACACTGGGCTCCAAGATCATCCAAACACAAGGGCAGGGACCACCAACTGTCAGTCCATCTGAATCAGGGATTTCTCCTCCATATGAGCTGAGTAGACTCATAGCTGTTAGCAATCATCTCTCAGGGGTAAGGACTCCAGATGCACATCAGATGGGTGCTGAATTGAACCAGACTTAGAATCATTATGACTCAACACCAAAAACTCTTTTAGGATCCCAAGGATCAGTGTTTGGTGTCCTAGCTGAAACAACTACCAATACTGGCTTTTCCAGTCCATGAGCATGGTATAACTTTTCCTGTATTGTGGTCTTTATGAAGTTTTTTTCCTCTCAGGTTCCTCTCAGGTTGTTACAAAACCTTTGTAACAAGGTTTCACCAATCATAGACCAAAGATAAAATTTAGCCCACAGCTTATTCTTGTAATGCTGATGAGATTAGAATGGTGTTAACATTTCTCTAATGTTGTGAAAACAGAAGAATGTATGACAGAGACCACACTTAACCTGCAAAGCTGATAATATTTCCCAACTGACCCTTTGTGAGAAAAGTTTGGCAAGCCCTCTTTGGTAGTTTTTGGTGCCTAGGTTTTGTACAGCATTTGCTAATTTATCCCTAGATATTTTACAAGTGCTTTTACCCTATAGTAAGTGATATCTTTTAAATTTCAATTTTCAGTTGTTTACTGGTAGCATATAGAATATATAATTGGTTTTTATGTACTGACCTTGCATGCTGGAGACTTACCAGCTTCCTGCTGCACTTCTGGTAGTTTCTTTATAGATTTCTTGGGATTATTTTACATACATATTCATGTTCCCTTTGAATAAAGAGTGTTTTACATCTTCCTGTTTGATGTGCATCTGTTTTATTTCATCTTCACATTTGCTCTGACCTCCAGTAAAATGAGGAATTCAAGTGGAGGTTATGGACATGCTTTTCAGGTTCATATCTTAGAGGCAAAGTGCCCAGTCTGGTATTTACAAAAAGGTTTTTAATAGATGTGCTTCATCCTATAAAGGAGATTCAATTCCCATTTTGTTAAGATATGTTTTTAAAAGGAGTGTTGAATTTTGTCAGTTACTCTGCATTCAGATCTGAGATAATCATATAGCCTTCATTGTGAATGTGGTAAATTACATTGATTTTTAAATGTTAAACCAACCTTGCATTACTGGAGCAAACCCTCCTTAAGAGGTGGTCATATTAAACCATATGTTTAGGGTCTGGTGCTGTGGCATAGTAGGCATAGTGGGCTAACCTGTAGCACCGGAATCCCATATGGGCACTGGCTCATATCCTGGCTCCTCCTCTTCCAATCCAGTTCTCTGCTATAGCCTGGGAAAGCAGTGGAAGATGGTACAAGTGCTTGGGCCCCTGCACCTGCATGGAGACCCAGAGGAAGCTCCTGGCTCTTGGCTTTGGATCAGCCCAGCTCCAGCCATTGTAGCCGTTTGAGAAGTGAACCAGCAGATGGAAGACCTCTCTCTCTGTCTCTCCATCTCTCTGTCTATAATTCTCTCTCTCTCTTGCTCTCTTTCTCTCTCTCTCTCAAATAAAAAAAAATTGTTTATAATTTTTATACATTCTTTTTCAATTTATTTTTGTTTGAAAAGCAGAGAGAGAGATGGAGACAGAGACAGATCTCCCATGTGCTGGTTCATGCCCCAAATTCCTACAACAGCCAGGCTGAACCAGGCCAAAAATGAAAGCCAGGAACTCAAGCTGGCTACCCCGATGGGTGGTAGGGACCCAGTCACCTGAGCCACCACCTTTTACCTCTCAGGATGTGCATTGCTAAGAAGCTAGAATTGAGTGCAACCAAGACAGGCACTCTGATACGAAATACAGGCCACAAGAGACATCAAGACCGCTATGCCAAATGTCCACCCATTTCTTCTTGATAAACTGAACCTTCTGTTTGTGTGAAATGTCCTTCCTTTCCCCTTACAATGGCATTAGACTTAAATGTCTATTTGTGGAGGGAAGTATAGCTACCCCAGCTCTCATTTGGTTACTGTTGTCATCAGCTAATTTTCTGTATCCTTTCACTTCCAACCTGTTTGTGTCTTTGAATCTAAATGATTCTCTTCTAGATAACATACAGTAGGCATTCCTTAAATGACTCCAGAATTGATGCCACAAAGTGGAGCCAGAGGAGGAGTTTGAAGCTCTGGGCCCAGCAACACAACTCGGCATGTGAGACTTGCCGTAGTCACATGTGGGCCAGCTGAGCTCCCCACTGGGTGGTGGCGCTGGGATAGACAGGCATGGCAGTACCAGCTAGGCTCAGCAGCTGTGCCATACCCCAGAATCACACCTCTGTGTTTCCCATGTAACAGTGCTGGCAGTAAGGGTCCCCTTCACCCACTATTTTACACTGGACTCACCACAGCCATGGACATGGGAGGAAGTGGTCCCATTTAAAAAAAAAAAGACTTTATTTATTTATTTGAGAGGTAGAGTTACAGACAGAAAGAGGGAGAGACAGAGACAGAGGTCTTTCATCTACTGTTTCACTCCCCAACTGGCTGCAAAGGCTGGAGCTGAGCTGATCCAAAGCCAGGAGCCAGAAGCTTCTTCCAGGTCTTGCAAGGTGGGTCTTGCAAGGTGGGTGCAGGGGCCCACGCCCATTAAGTGAGATTTTTTTCCCCTAAAGAAACTTATTATTTAAGGAATACAAACTTTATGCATTTCATAAGTACAACTTTAGGAATATATTGATTTCCCACCATATCTGCCCTCCCACCCACTCTCCTACCCCTTCCACCTCCTCCCTCTCCCATTCCCAGTCCCATTCTCTACTAAGATCCATCTTCATCAACTTTATACACAGGAGAGTACTCCCATTTTTAAGGCACGAATCAGGAGCCCAGAGGTGGTCTGTAAGGTGCGTTAGACACCGAGTTATGTGAGCTGGTCTCTCCAGCGCTGGGCACAGGGGTAAGTCCGCTGCCCAGTGGCTGTGTGACGTTCTGCATGGGTGACTCCCCCACGTGCAAGACTGGGGGGATTACTTCCATGTGTCAAGGCTGGTAGGAAGCTAAAATCAGGCAGATGACACATGTGGCCAGCAGCTCCTGGTCCACAGAAGTGCCCAGACACCCCTGCCGCAGTGATGTCACCCCCCCCCGCCCTGCTCCGAGTTCAGTGGAGGAGCAATGTCCTGAATGCACGCAACCATAGCCCTGGTCAAAGTCGCGGACAGTCTCTGTCGACACGGTCATCCCCCGAAAGCCCAATCACAGGTGAAACACTTAGCCGTGAATCACGAGACAGTTCCTGCTCAGATCTTACGAATAACAGCTAGTGCCAGGCTGCTGGGACGACCTAGGGAGGCTGCAAGTGGCTTTTTTACGGCTCCAGGCCACAGCGTATCTATCAACACAAACAGCCCGAGCACACTGTGCACTGAGAAAGAGGGGATTCTGAAAGCCGGTGAGGTCCCAAGGGGTCAGAGACGTCCAGTCATTCTGCAAAACCCTCCTGGGGAAAGGAAACTTTGGGGTACGACGGATCGCTCTCAATCTCCTACAACCCAAGAACGTCCCCAGGAGTGCCCGGGCCACTCTCAGTACGCTTCCTCCAGCGCAGTACGGAAAGCGGAGATGACTTCACCATGGAGGGGCGAGGGCGCCAGTCTATAGCTGATGTAAAGGAGGCCCTGCCAAGGCTCTCAATGAGTCTGTGGGCACCAAGGAGAGGGTAGGAGTGGTGCTGGCACCTTCTGACTCCCATCTTGAAGCTCATCAGAATCCTCTGCCTCTCATCTTGGAGCGTCTCGGGCCTCGGGATCAGTGGTAAAGGGGGTATCTTAGGGTGGCTGCCATGTCTCCTGTCGGGTGAGCCACAGAATAGTCTGCAAGAATCTCTAAGAATCTCCCAAGGGCAAACAAGGTCAGGAAAGCCTGGGATAAAGAGTTTGGGGAATTATGACAAAAGAACAGGTGTTTGGACAATGAAAGCAGCTGGTATCAAAGTTCTGATGAGGAGGCAGGCATCTGGGACGGAGAAGCTGGAGCCAGGAGACCAGCCCCAGGAGGTCTCATGGAGACAGGAGAGCATGGAGGTTCTCAGGCTAGTGGGCAGGCACCTGCCACAGGGGTCAAAGGCTCCCCTGGGTCTCCATTCCTGGTCCTTCCCTGCACCAGGGCTGGTCCTGGTCCTCTCTACCTTTCCATTCTGTGAGGTTCTTTAACCTCCACTGTTCCCAGGGAAGGATCATGGTGCGCAGGGCAACACATCTCCCCTCCACTGGTCCTGAGGTTCAGGGGACTCCCCAGGGACCAGGTGCACAGCCAAGCCACAGCTGCAGCACACGGAGGACCTGCTCCTTGCTCTGCTGTGATTTCATCATCCAGGCTTCTGCAACCTCACGGGGTTGTCTTGGTATTTTGCCAGGACATCGGCATATAAGTCAGGAATGACTGTCCTCACAAAGTGCACACAGCTGGGAAAAGTCACAATCCTGACCACAAAAGGCAAAAGGGCCGTCCCTCAAAAGGTACTCATCAAAGCCCTTCCTCACCTAACAGACTCACAACTCCCCTAAGAAGGTTCCAGAACACCGGGACACATCATGCCTGCGGCCACCCTCTCCTGTGTTGGCCAGAAGCAAAGTGTCATGGAGCAGCTTCCTGGAGGAGGGGACAGATGCTCCCTACCCACCCTGGGACCCTTTTCCACCTGCTGTTCATCGCACAGAGGGGCAACAGGGGTCCATGTCAGAGCCTTCATTTGCCAGGAGGGTCATGCTGGGATACTTAGGAGGTGTATGTGTGGGCAACAGGATGAGCCCAGACTCCATGAAGGGGGGCTCAGCCTCCCTTCCCCAGCGTGAGAGCTCTGTCTGGAAATCAGCTGATGCGGAAGCCCAAGGCAGGCTACCAAAGGAACCAGACTCGGGAAAAGAGCCCAAAAGTTGAAATCCCAAAGAATATCCAAGCGAGGCCATGGATCAGAATATAGGTGGCCAGGGATACGCTCCCAGATCCCGGTTGACCCAGTGGGTTCGTGCACACATGGTCCGTCACGCATGCTTCTGAGCCCATTTGCTCCCCGGTGAGGAGGAGGACAGGGCTTCCACATGCACGCCTGTTCTGCAGAGCCCACAGGTAAGGCACGTGCAGCGTAGCAGCCTATGCAAAGCATGGACCTGCAGCCAGCTAAGGAAACTCAGTGTCGGGTAAGTGATTGTTAGGATGAAGGAAAAGAGCCCTTGATCAGGTCTTCGTCTCCCCTGGGAGGGTTCCCGGGTCAGGCTTTGTGAAAGATGGTCGAGCACATCAGGCACAACCAGCTGTGGCCTTGAAGACAGTCTGGTCTCAACCGTATGGATTTTTTTTTTTCCTAGAAAACGTGGTGCTTATGTGAAGGTTTCTCTACTACGGAGTATCACTGGACCCTGGATTAGGCTCCTTGGTGGCTCCTGCCCTGCCCTGCTTTCATCACAATCTCTGTCCTTACCTGGCTCTGTGACCTCCCTGGGGCCAGTCTCCTGCACCTGTTTCAGGAGCCCTGACTTCCGGCCCAGAAGGTCTAGGCGTGCGTTGATCGCGGCCTGTCATCTGGTTCTTTGATGTAGACTCAAATGAAAACAAAGCTGCTGAGACATCTGCTGTGTGACATTCTGGAATCTTCCTCCACCAGGGGACCCTGTATGTCCTGCTGTCGGGTGGCCCTTGCACGGAGGTAGGTTCGAGGAACAGCAGGAGGGGTGTGGGCACCTCCTTGTCCATGCATTGTCCTTTGTGTCACTCAGCATCTGAGAGAGCCCGCCTACATCATCAGCAGTGGAGCCATGGCCAAGCTACTGAAGATACTGCCTGGGCCATGCTACACATCTCATAAAGTGATCGTTCTCCTCCTGACAGGTATAACGTTCACCTTTCACTATTGCTACTGGAATCCGAAGAGCCAGCATCTTAAAAGCTTGCTGGCTGGGACAGGTACAGCTGTTAGAGAATCGCACACGAAGTATCTGCAGCCAGATGCACTAACTCCCTCTAGGAGGGATGTCCTCGTCCTCACCCCTTGGCTTGCCCCAGTTGTGTGGGAAGGTACTTTCGACATTGACCTACTGAATGCGCAATTCAAGCTCCAGAATGCTACCATTGGGTTAACTGTGTTTGCTGTCAAAAACTACATGTCTTTCCTAGAGCTCTTCCTGAGGAGTGCGGAGAAGTACTTCATGGCCGGCCACAGGGTGAACTACTACGTCTTCACTGACCAACCCGAGCTGGTCCCTCAGCTCCCGCTCCCCGGCGGGAGGCGGGTGATCGTCCTCAGGACCCAGAGCCACCAGCGCTGGCAGGACATCAGCATGCAGCGCATGGGAGCCATCAGCCGCGGCGCCCGCCAGCGCTTCCTCAAGGAGGTGGATTACCTGGTGTGTGCCGACGTGGACATGGAGTTCAGGGACCACGTGGGCGTGGAGATCCTCTCCTCTCTGTTTGGTACCATCCACCCGGACTTCATGGCGGTAAGCCGGTACTCCTTCAGCAATGAACGCCGGCCTGAGTCGCAAGCCTACATCCCTGAGGACGAAGGGGACTTTTATTACATTGGGGCCTTCTTTGGAGGGTCAGTAGCAGAGGTTTACAGGCTCACCGAGGCCTGTCACCAGGCCATAATGATAGACAAAGCCAATCACCTGGAGGCCATATGGCAAGAGGAGAGCCATCTGAACAAGTACCTGCTTTACCACAAACCCACCAAGCTACTCTCTCCAGAATACATGTGTGACCATGACCTGTTGCAGGATATGCAACATCGAAAAAAGCTGGGCTTGTCCAACATCGTGAGGCGGATTAGAATTTTTGCCCTACTCAAAAATAAAGAGGTTAAGTCAAATAATGCTTCCCAGAAGGTTCAGAGTACTGATGGACGATGAGCCCCCACTGCCCTCCTCACATGCCGCCCTGATTAAAATCAATTTTACAAGCAATGATAATTCTCCACCTCTTTTTGCTAAATGGCTGAAAAAGTTGCTAATGCAGTCCACCATTTTTAAAAAGATATATTTATTTATTTGAAAGGCAGAGAGAGAGAGAGAGGTCTTCCATCCACTGGTTCACTCCCCAAATGGCTGCAACAGCCAGAGCTGGGCTGATCTGAATCCAGGAGCCAGGAGCTTCCTCTAGTCTCCCATGCAGGTGCAGGGACCCAAACACTTGGGCCGTCTTCCACTGCTTTCCCAGGCACATTAGAAACAGGGAGCTGGATCGGAAGAGGAGTAGCCAGGACTTGAACTGGTGCCCATATAGGATGCCAGCACTGCAGGCGGCAGCTTTACCCTCTATGCCACAGTACCAGCTCCATTCCACCATTTTTGTAAAATTCAGGCAGATCTAGCACTATCTCCCTCCCCTCGGTTTCTCTCTCTCGCTCTCTCACTCTCTCGCTCTCTCTCTCACACACACACACACTTAGACCCTGATTGCACAGATCACACATGAATTCCCAAGCTGCCATGACCTTGAGCTTCTCCTAATACCCTGTAGGAGATGAGTAAGGGCAGTGGGCTGAGCCTGTACTGGGCCACAAGGGATCAGAGACGATTGCCCAGAAGAAATGAAGGGGCCCCTGTTGGTGTAGCCACGCCTCCGGGGGCACGCCATCCCTCAAACGCCTGCAGATGAACGTGGATCCTTGTTGTCGAAGCCGCAACAGCCCTGGGGTGTGCAGGAAGCTCATTATCCAAAACGAAGACGATCCGGTGCTTGGATGAGCCCGTGCTGATCTATTACTGTTGTTAACTCAGCTCCGTAGTTCGTATCAGGTGCGGTTTCTGTGCTGTACATCGTGTGAGTCTCAGCAAAACCAGAATGACCTGCGTTCACCAGGACGGTAGCACGTGCGAGGTTTACCGCCCTCCAAAGCCCCTGCGCTCCCCTCTGCATCTCTCCCTCCCTCCCCCCATAGCCATGTAAATCATTGGCTTTTTTGTCTCCAAGAATGTCACGTGGTTGGAACTACACAGCAGGTAGTCTTTTCAAGTTGCCTTCCTGCACCTAGTGTGCTAAAAAAAACAATTATTAACAGACCCAAATATATTCTGTGCCTCTATGCTTTATAAAAATAAGAACCCAAAAGCATATAAATTAAACTTATTAATTAATAATTAATTATCATAATATAATAAAATGTAATAAGTAAATAATGTTCAACAGTATTTATAGGTTGTTTTCATTTTTCATATATAAGAAATCAACTAGGGTGGACTTTTATTTACAAAAGATTTATTTTTTATTTATTTGAAAGACACAGTTACACAGAGAAGTAGAGTCGGGGGGAGAGGGGGAGAGAGAGAGAAAGAGAGAGACAGAGGTCTTTCATCTGATGGTTCACTCCCTAGACGGCCACAATGGCCAGAGTTGAGCTGATCCGAAGCCAGGAGCCAAGAGCTTCTTCCAGGTCTCCCACGTGGGTGCAGGGGCCCAAGGACTTGGGCCACCTTCCACTGCTTTCCCAGGCCATAGCAGAGAGCTGGATCGGAAATGGAGCAGCCAGGATGCGAATTGGTGCCCCTATGGGATGCCGGTGCCGCAGGCCGGGGCTTTAACTCATTGCACCAAAGCACCGGTCCTTAGGGTGGGCTTTTAGCACAGTGGCTTAAGTCACTGCTTGGGATACCCACATCCCATACTGCAGTGCCTGGTTCACAAGCTGGCTGCTCATCCGGCTTCCTGCTGATACACATCCTGGGTGGCGGCAGATGATGGCTCAAGTGCATGGGGGACCCATAGGAAGTTCCGGGCTCCTGGCTTCACCCTGGCCCAGCCCTGGTGTTGCAGGTGTGAACCAGCAGATAGAAGACCAATCTCTCTCTCTCTCTTGCTCTTGCTCTCGCTCCCTCTCTCTGCTTATTTCTCTGTATCCCTTTCTCTGTCTCTCTGTCTTTCAAATAAAATGAAAAGAAGTAAATTTCGGGGCTAGCGTGGTGGCATAGCGGGTAAAGCTTATTTTCCTCTATTCTATTTTGTAATGTATTTACTTATTTGGAAGGCAGAGTTAGAGAGGTAGAGAAAGAGAGAGGTCTTCCATCTACTGGTTCACTCCCCAAATGGCTGTAACAGCCAGAGCTGGGCTGATCCAAAAAGAAGCCAGGAGCTTCTTCCAGGTCTCCTATGTGGGTGCAGGGGCCCAAGGACTTGGGCCACCTTCTACTGCTTTCCCAGGCCACAGCAGAGAGCTGGATCAGCCAGGACTTGAACCCATATGGGATGCCAGCACAGCAGGTGGCAGCTTTACCCTCTATGCTGCAGCACTGGGCCCCGCCCTTCTCCTTTTTTCGTATATCAAATCCACTTGTTTTCATTGAGCTGTTTTTAGTGGTTGTCCTACATGGAGCGATACCTGATGCAAGTGGGCCAGAGAGTTGCCTAGGAGAGCACATGGAAGGAGGACAGAGAAGGATCCATAAGCAAGGTCAGCAATCAAAGGGCACTCCCACGTGGTCAGTGCCTGTTGCAAGACAGAGGGTGGCCCGCTAAGTGAATATACAAGCAGGGTGGAGTTTAGCATGCATGAGGCTTCCTGGTGCCTCCATGTGCAGCTTAACTTCCTCATGGCCATCATGGCGTCTCCTCCTTCCTGGTCTTGAGCGAGAAACAGGTGCACTATGGGAATGCAGCCACACTGGTTGGACAGGCAAGAGGGTGGGGTTGCAATGCAGCACTACAGAGAAATTATGGAGAAAAAAACCTTCCAGCTTCATTTATTCCTACCTACCTCTCTACTGAGCTCCCCACTATCAGTAAGGTAAAAACTTCCTTAAAGCTTTGAAAATGTTCAAGAAGGATTATGCTAATTTTATCCCAACAAGAGGTTATCAGAGGGTGGGGCTATCTGTAGCTTGATTTGTGAAATCCTCTAGTCCATATAGGTCTGTGTCTTTTTTTTTCCAGTTTGACAGGTAAATGTTGTATCACCTTCGTTACGGCCTTTACGATTTATTACAATTGTTATTACAGTTACTATGATTTTATTGTCCACTCCTGACTTCCTCATAATTCTGGCTACCTTCCCTTCTGATTCACACAGTCTGTCTCTTCTTCCTTATGCAAATTCCAGATACTAAATTTTCCTCAATGATATCAAGCATTTCTTCTTTCGAGTGAATTTTAGAATAAGCTTCATAGGAGCAAAGATCTTTGTTCGTGCATGACGTAGCTCTTCATCTGTGCAAAGACTTTTCCTTCTCAGTGAAGTTTTATAGGTGTTAGTATGGCCTGCTCACTTAATGTTAAGTCTGGCAGCGTGACAAGCACTGGATAGGTGTAACAATCAAGGCTTAGAGCAAGCAGCAGGTAACGTGAAATGCCTGTTGGCCCAACAGGGAAGAGGAAGGCCTGGACTCAAACCCTGGGTCTCTAAGCCCCAAGTTCCAAGGCCAGCTCTCTGCCTGTGACCTTACTGTGCCAGCCTGAAGAAGAAAAATAAGTGCCTGTCTTTCCTATTTTGGCGGGGGGGGGGGGGGGGGGCGGCCGGCCGGTGGGACACAGGAGCAGTTGTTGGAAACAGCCTCCTTGAGGAGGGCCAGAAAAGGCCCAATGCCACTGGCAGACCAAGGGGCTTGAGAGGAACCCACCAAGATCATCTCCAGTCGTCCCTCCATTGCTGGAGTCGTCTTTTGGGGAGCAGAAGCCCTACAACCCTGTGAAGGCGAAAGCCAGAGAAAAGCTGTGTGTGGGCGTGGCCAGCACGTTGAACCTGCCAGGCTAGTGAACCCTGCAGTGACACCGCGATTCTGTAATGTAATATGGATGAGGAAGCAGCCTCAGGACCATCAAACAGCTTGCCCGTGATCAAACAGCCAGTCTGCCGGGGGCCTGGGTGGCTCCTGGTTCTGCCAGACTGCAGCCCCCTTACCCTGTACGGCTACGCACCTCCCTTCTCCTCTCCACCCCCCAAGATCTCCGGCCAGGCCTCTCCCTCCCCCCACAGCACACGGGCCCAGGCACTCCGAGATCAGTCACAGTTACTTTTATTAGAATCAGTCTGCTAAAGGCGGAAACAGGTGCCATTGGGGGGATTTCAGCCTCAGGTGTGGAGAGGCAGGAAGTAGACCTCAGATCGAGAGTGGAGACGTCGGTGGCAAAGATTCGTCCTCACACAGGGCTCAGCTTCGTCACATTCAGCGTGCTTATTCCTTTGACCTTGCTGGTGGTGACAGTGCCCTGGGACAGAGTCAGAGGAGGGCTTCAGGGGCTGGCATGGTGGCACAGCAGCTTAAGTCACTGCTTGCGACACCAACAACCCATATCAGAGAGCTGGTTTGGGTCCCGGCTGCTCGGCTTCCAGTCCAGCTCCCTGCTAATGCACCTGGAAAGGTAGCAGAAGACGGCCCGAGTACTTGGATCCCTGCCACCCGTGTGGGAGACCTGGATGGGGGTCCTGGCTCCTGGCTTAGGTCTGGCCCAGACCTGGCTGTTGGGAATATTTGGGGACTATGAGTATTGATTCTACAGAAATAAAAACTATTAGAAGAGAGGCCAGCATTTTGGCACAGCAGGTAAAGCCACCACCTGCAGTGCCGGCATCCCATATGGGCACCAGTTTGAGTCCCGGCTGCTCCACCTCTGATCCAGCTCCCTGCTGATGCACCTGGGAAAAGCGACAGAAAACAGCCCAGGTGTTTGGGCCCCTGCAGCCACTTGGGAGGCCTGTATGAAACTCCTGGCTCCTGACTTCGGCTTGGCTCAGCCCTGGCTGTTGTGGCCATCTGGGAGTGAACCAGTGGATGGAAGATCTCTATCTCTTCCTCTCTCTCCCTCTTTCAAATAAATAAATAAATCTTTAAAGAGAGAGAGAGAAGGAGAAAGAAACCAACGTAAGGGGCAGGCATTTGAGCCAGCAGTGAAGATGCCCAGTCCCATAGCCCAGTCCCCGGCGTCAGGGTCCAGCTCCTGTCCTCACTGCAGCTTCCTGCTAATGCAGAGGGATCAGGTGATGGGTCCCTGCCACACACATGGGAGACCATGAGTTACTAACTTCCGGGGGCCAGCGCTGTGGCGCAGCGGGTTAACACCCTGGCCTGAAGCGCCGGCATCCCATATGGGCACCGGTTCGAGACCCGGCTGTCCACTTCTGATCCAGCTCTCTGCTGTGGCCTGGGAAAGCAGTAGAGGATGGCCCAAGTCCTTGGGCCCTTGCACCTGCGTGGGAGACCCGAAGGAGGCTCCTGGCTCCTGGCTTCAGATCGGTGTAGCTCCGGCCATTGCTTCCATCTGGGGAGTGAACCATCGGATGGAAGACCTCTCTCTCTCTCTCTCTCACTCTCTCTGCCTCTTTTCTCTCTGTGTAACTCTGACTTTCATATAAATAAATAAATCTTTTTTTTTTTTTTTAAAAAGAGTTCCTAACTTCCAGGCCCAGCCTGTCTCAGCCTTGGTCCCTGTGGGCATTTGGGGAACGAACCAGTGGATGGGAACATGGGAGAATAGGATCTTTCACTCACTCTCTCTCTCTCTGCCCCCTTTCTCTCTCCCTATCCCCTTTCCTGTCTCCTTCCTTCTCCCCTCCCTGCTTCCATCTCTCCCTAATAAAATAAAAACCAACGCAACAAACCGGAAGCCTCACAACCAGCATCCTTGTTCCTTTGCAGCTGAGTTCAAGGGTCAGAGATCACCTTGACGGAATGGAGGGCTGAAATGACAGGCCAGCCCCGAGACAGCCCTGACCCCTGATGCCGTAGCTGTGGAGTAGAGTGCGCGCTGCGAGACCCGGACCCCAGCACGTGCTCTGCTACCACGGCCGCTGCTCACACCTCCCTGAGATCCTGGGAGCATATTTGCAATTTGCCTTAGGGAGAGAAAACGCTCTCCCAAGCTCTTCTTGTGTAAAATAGCTTGTTCAACATGGACATGGGAAAAACACACAACTGGTATTTGGAGCCTTTTACACCTGGAGGGGCCCTGGGAACTATGGGCTATCACGGGCTCACAGGACGAGACCGCCAGCCTTACCCAGCCTGAAGGGCTGCCGGGGAAGCTCCGGGTGGGGAGACTCCAGGTGGCAACTTCTGGAACTCGTGCCCGAGCCCAGGAATCAGGCCTGTCCAGAGGAGTACACACACTTGTGTGTTCACGGGTTGGAGGGGACGCTACGGCTTACTAAGCTGGGAGAGGGGTGGGATGGGGTGTGTGCTAGACCGCAGCCATTTTGCACACGCAGACTGCGTGTGGGCGGGTTCTCAGGCTACCTGTCCACTGGACTTCTCCCCGCTTCCCTGGACGCTTCCGTCACGCGTTCTGGGTTGCTTGGTGATTCTTTGGAGCACCCACTTGTCCTGAAATCTCACGTTCTGGAAGATGGCCGGCAAGTCCATCAGCCTCTTGTCCCACATGTACTCAGGGGAGAGGACCTTGGTGGGTTTGTGGTAAAGCAGGTACTTGTTCAAGTAGCTCTCCTCATGCCACACAGCCTCAACGTGGCGGGCTTTGTCCCTCGCCATGGCCTCGTGACAGGCTGTGGCGAGCTTGTGAACTTCCGGCACTGAACCCCCAAATAAAGCCTCTGTGTAATAGAAGTCCCCCTCGCCGAGCGGAACGTGGGCTTGCGACTGGGGCCAGCGTTCGTAGGCAAAGGTGTCCCGAGGGCGCCCAAAGAAGACAGGGTGGATGGTGCCGAACAAGGCGGAGAGGATCTCCACGCCCACGTGCTCCTGGAAGGTCACGTCCACGTGTGCGCACACCAGGTAATCCACCTCCTTGAAGAAGTGCAGAGAAGAGAAATGGCTGAGTATTTCCATGCGGGGTCCGGACACCTCCCGGCGGCCGGCGGGGGTCGGGACCTCCAGGATGGCCATCTGCCTCCCGGCTCCGAGCCGGATGGGCGGGACGCTATCGGGCTGATCGGTAAAGATGTAGTATTTCACCCTGTGTCCCACCATGAAGTGGGCCTCTGCCGTCTCCAGGAACGGCTTCAGGAAGACCACGTACTTCTTCACGGCAAACGAGGCCAACCCAACGGTGACATTCTGGAGCCAGAAGTGCTCATTCAGTATCTCAATGTTGAAAGTCTCTTCCCACACAATTGGAGCTAACCAAGGTGTCTGGACAAGGACATCCTCCTTAGAAAACAGTAGCAGGCTTGGCTGTGGGTACACCAACCTTGATACGTTCACGACTTCCAGGTGGTTCATTTCTTTAGCAGCCAGACTGGCCCTGGCCAGAGTGTCTTCCAGATTCTGGCTTCTCGGTGCCAGGAAGGTACAGCCCAAGGAGGTCAAGACAAGGGCGAGGAGGAGAAGGCAGATCACATAACGAAAGGAGTGGGATTTTGATTTCTCCAGATGTGTCTGAGGCAGCTGGGCCATGGTTCTTGGGGTCTCCTCCCGGCTGGGAGGGCAACCTCTCCCGGGCAGGGGGAAGCCAGACCTGAGGCCCAGCGACATCTGAGCCTGCCCACACAACCTGCTCATCCAGTAGCCCCTGGAGCTCTCCAAGGCCAATCCTGGGGCCAGCTGAGGGTGGGTTGGAGTCCCAGGAGAACTCCACGAAATCCAGTTTGGCTTTGAGGTGCTGTCAAGGTGGTCCGGTGGTGGCACTCAGTCACCAGCCAGCTAGAAGGTAAGAACCTGAGCGGAGGAGACACTAGGAGTCCTGAGAGAGGCACAGGAGGCGGCAGCAAGGGAGGGGGCCACAGAGCAGGTCAGGGGCAGAGATTGTGATGAAATGAAAGCTGGGCAGGGACCACCAGGCAGGCTGACCGAGGGCTCGGACGCTGCTGCCCTGGCCCGCCCGCGGCACTCAGCAGCTGGGAAACCCTTCCAACTAAGACCAGACTGCCTCGGGGGGCATGTGCAGATAGCCCCCGTGGGTCACCATGGGAGCCATGGCGGAGGGTGCGGGTTAATGTTGGCTTTCTTTTATTCCCCTAATCGTCACTTACAGTTCACTGAGCACTAACTTTTCAGGTGTTGAGCTTTTAGGATTACGCTGCTACAGTTAATGTGCGTTATCCTGTTCAATCCTCACAGCAAGCTGGCTTCTCTCGTACATTCTGTTGGTCTATGGATCTGTTGTTAATGCCAGTATTATACTGTTTGATTACTTCTAATGCAGTAATATAATTTTATTAAAAAAGTAGTTGTGTTTTCTTTTTTCTTTTTTTAAGATTTTATTTATTTATTTGAAAGAGTTACACAGAGAGAGGAGAGGCAGAGAGAGAGAGAGAGAGAGAGAGAGAGAGAGAGAGGTCTTCCATCCAATGGTTCACTCCCTAGTTGGCCACAACGGCTGGAGCTGCGCCGATCTGAAGCCAGGAGCCAGGAGTTTCTTCCAGGTCTCCCACGTGGGTAGAGGGGCCCAAGGACTTGGGCCATCTTCTGCTGCTTTCCCAGGCCACAGCAGAGAGCTGGATCAGAAGTGGACAGCCGGGTCTTGAACCAGCGCCCATATGGGATGCCGGTGTTTCAGGCCAGGGCGTTAACACACTGCGCCACAATGTCAGCCCCTAGTAATATAATTTGAAACCAAGAAATGTGGGGTCTCCAACTTGGCTTTTCTGTCTCATTCTACTTTGGTTATTAGTAGTCTTTTGTGGTTCCCTTTGAAAAGGTGCTAGGAAACTTGAATATCCACGTGCAAAAGAATGAAGTTAGATTTTAGGTTACAACATACACAAAAATGATTCAAAATGGATCAGAGATCTAAACCTAAGAGCTAAGGGCTGACACGCCTAGAAGAAAACATAGAATGGAGCTTCATGGTATTGGATTTAGGCAGTGATTACCTAGATGATACTGAAAACACAGGCAACAAAATTGAAAATTAACAAAATTAAAAATTTGGATTTCGTCAAAATAAAAAACTCTTTATCCATCAAGGAATACTAGCAAGAGAGTGAAGAGACAACTGATGGAATAAGAGAAAATGCCTGTAAGCCATGTATCAGAAAAGGATTTATATCCAGAATATATGAAGGAGCCCTAACCTCAGCAATCCAATAGGCAAACCAGCCACTGGAAAAACGGACAAATGAATTGAATAGACATTTCTTCAAAGAAAACATACACATGGCCCAGAAGCACGTGAAAGGATGTCCAACATCACTTCTCGCTAGAAACATGCAGATCAAAATCCACAATGAGACACCCTCACTGGGCTGGTGACTAAACACAGCAGGGGCATTTGCCTTGGTGGCTGAGACACTGCATTCCGTCTCTGGGCACCTGGGTTCAGTATCCACCTCCCACCCCCGTCTTCAGCTCCCTGTTAGACCAGGCCCTAGGAGGCAGGGCTGGTAGAACAAGTATTTGGCTCCCTACCACCCATATGGCATACCCTAGCCTTGGCTGTTGCAGGCATTTGGAGAGTACACCAGCAGATGGAAGGTATCTCTCTCTTTCTCCCCCCGCTCTTTGTATCTATGTTTGTCAAATAAATAAATCTTTAAGAAATAAATTAATTAGGGGCAGGTGCTGTGGCATAGTGGACTAAGCCCTGTCTGAGGCGCTGACATCCCACATGAACCCTGGTTGGAGTCTGGCTGCTCCTCTTCCGATCCAGCTCTCTGCTATGGCCTGGGAAAGCAGAAGACAGCCCAAGTGCTCGGGCCCCTGCACCCATGTTGGAGACCCAGAAGAAGCTCCTGGCTGCTGGCTTTGGATTGGCCCAGCTCCGTTTGTTGCAGCTATTTGGGGAGTGAACCAGGGAATGGAAGACCTCTCTCTCTGTCTGCAACTCTACCTCTCACTATAACATGAGTAAATAAATATAAAGAACACCCTCAGGTCTGGCATTGTGGCACAGTAGACTAAGTTGCTGCTTGCAATGCCCGTATCCCATGTGGGAATGCAGTACAAGTCCCAGCTGCTCTGTTTCTGACACAGCTCCCTGCTGATGCACATGGGAGAGCAGCGGAAGATGGTCTGGGTGTTTAGGTCCCTGCCACCCATGCGGGAGACCCAGATGGAGTTCCAGCCTACTGGCTTCAGCCTGGCCCAGGCCAAGCTGTTTCAGGCATTTGGGGAGCGAACCAGCAGGTGGAGGATTTCTTACGGGGGGCAGAATTTTCCATCCACTGGTTCACTCCCCACATAGCCTCAACAGCCAGAGCTGAGCCAGGCTGAAGCCAGAAGCCAGGAGTTTCTTCTGGGTCTCTGATGTGGGTGCAGGGCCCCAAGTATTTGGGCCATCTTCCACTGCTTACCCAGGCATATTAGCAGGAAATAAATCTTATTTTAAAAAAAGAATTTTTAAAGAAAATAGACACAATTGTCTTTGTGAAAAAGGAAATCCTTTATACCCTAAGGCTGTAAACTGATTTTCTCATAAACATTGGTAGCTTTATTTTCAACATCTGACGTCACTGGGTTTCTGTTTCAAGGGTGTGGGCGAGGACCTCAGGGCATTTTTCCAACATGCTCCCTCCATGTTTTTGTTTTGTCCTCATTTTCCCTCTCGGGGTTCTCCACAAGCAGCCTGCTTCCAAAACTACAGTGACAAGTGTGCATCCACGGTGACCTTCACTGAGGCCAGCGCAAATCCAGGGAAACCTACACAGAATCCCCCTCTCCCCCACCGCGCCGCCCTCCACCGGTGGTCTGCGCGCTTCTGCGCCGGCCTCCCGCAGGCCGGATGACCCTGGGAAGCCAGCTCCGTGATTCCCACCTCTGAGTCAAGGGCGGCGCTCCTGGACAGCCTTCCAGGCCCCCCAGCGTCCCTTCCTGCCTGCCTACCTCTGTCCTCTCCTCCACTCCCCCAGCTGGTGACTCCGTTCCAGGGCCACCGGATTGCCCATTGCTGCTTGGGCTTTCGCAGCACGCGTTCCCGGCACCCGGATACTCTTCTTCCAGATCCTGCTGGGGTTCACTCAGCCGCCTCCTTCAAGGGCTTCTCCCCAGATCTCACCTTCCCATTGCAGCCCACCTGGCCCACCCTGTGTGAGCTGGAACCATCTCTCCCTAACGCCGAGTTCAACTCCCACACACCGCTTTATTCTGTACAGAATCTGTTGATGGTTGATCTGCTAGTAATCTACTCACTTATTATGTTTCTTGTTCAGTTTCTCTTCTCCCATGAAAATGTAGGTTATACAAGCCCAGGATTTTTTTTCCATTTTTTTTAATTGATGCTACTTCCTAGAATAGTCCTTGGAACACATATTAAATTTTTTTTTAAAGTTGTGAATAAACTGCCCTCTGGGGGCCGGCACTGTGGCACAGCAGGTTAATGTCCTGGCCTGAAGCACCAGCAGCCCATATGGGCGCCGGTTCCAGTCCCGGCTGCTCCTCTTCCGATCTAGCTCTCTGCTATGGCCTGGGAAAGCAGTAGAAGATGGCCCATGTCCTTGGGCCCCTGCACCCACGTGGGAGACCTGTGGGAAGAAGCTCCTGGCTCCTGACTTTGGATCAGTGCAGTTCTGGCCGTTGCAGCCATCTGGGGAGTGAACCAGCAGATGGAAGACCTCTCTCTCTGTCTCTACCTCTCTCTGTAACTCTGTTTTTCAAATAAATAAAATAAATCTTAAAAATAAAACTGCCCTCTGAATAATACCTGGATGTTTCATAAGTTTATCACACTCCCTACGCTGAACTCACAACATTTCTGCCGAAATGTCTCGAGTGCACGTATCTAAGATTGCCCTGGGTGTGCTGCCGTAGCTTGTCACCTGCTCATAGCTAGTCACCTCCTCCTCCTACTGCTCTGTTACCATCCCTCTGTCTATTCCTCCAGACCAGGAGCAGGCCTCACTGCTCTGACCACTGCAAAGAATCCCCTAAGGCTGTCTGTCTCCGTCCTGGCACTCCTTCAATTCTTCTTCTTAGGTAACTCCAGGAATATTTCTAAAATCTCCATATGATTTTGTCTGTTTTTTTTTTTCCTCTTACCCCCTTCTCATGACTCCCCATTCTTCTGAGCCCATCCTGGGATGCGAGCTTGTTCACGATATGCCCTACTCCACACAGCAGCCACGTCGCTCACTTTGGCTTCCGCGTCCTGCTGCCGTGACCGTCTGCCTGGAGGCCCACGGATAGAGCGTCTCCTAAGAACAGACTCATTTGCCAGAGATTTGCTTCTGTAGTTGCAGAAAAGCTGCTACAGGCCAGGAGGACCCTGGTTCTCAGGTTCCAGCCTTTCCCAGCATGAACCAAGGTGTTTGTTCCTGCTTTAAAGCTGAGTCCTGGGGCCAGCACTGTGGCATAGCGGGTAAAGCCATCTCCTGCAGTGTTGGCATCCCATATGGGCACTGGTTCGAGTCCCAGCTGCTCCACTTTCGATCCAGCTCTCTGCTATGGCCTGGGAAAGCAGTAGAAGATGGCCCAGGTCCTTGGGCCCCTGCACCCGCATGGGAGACCCGGAAGAAGCTCCTGGCTCCTGGCTTCGGAATGGCGCAGCTCCAGCCATTGTGGCCAACTGGGAAGTGAACCAGCGGATGGAAGACCTCTCTCTCTCTCTCTCGTTCTCTATCTGTGTAACTCTGACTTTCAAATAAATAAGTAAATCTTTAAAAAAGAAAGAAAGAAAGCTGAGTCCTAGCAACACGAAGCTGGTGCCTGGGTTGGTCCCAGAGCACATGGACAGGAAAGCCAAAGTTGGAATGTTACAGGATCAAAACCTCAAAAACCAGTTTTGATGGCCCAAGTACTTGGGTTCCTGCCACCCACGTGAGAAAACTGGATGGAGGTCCTGGCTCCTACCTTCGGCCTGGCCCTGCCTGTTGTGAGCATTTGGAGCGTGAACCAGCAGGTTGGAGACCTCTCTGTCTTTCCCTCTCTCTGTAATTCTGCCTTTCAAATAAGTAACCCTTTAAAAGAGAGGTGGGGGGACCTCCAGCTGGCCGGTGTGAGCTGTGGATGTCGTGGCCTTTGGTGAATGGCCTCATAGAAGAAGTTCAAGTGCTTGGAATGGAAGTTTTTCTTCTGAGACCTGGGACTGCACTAAAGAAGTGATAGCTCCATTGGTCTCCAAGAACCTGCTGGTGGTGGTGCTGTCCTCTGGCCATGGGTGGCCCTCCCCTGACCCACCTGCCACTGTTATTTTTCACCCTCCACCTGACCTATCCCTTTCCTCCCCTCTCCTAGGGCCTTCCTCTCAGTTTCTCTTGCTCAAAGGTTAGGGCGTGGGGCATTCCGTGTGGGTGCCAGTTCGAGTCCCGACTGTTCCACTTCCGATTCAGTTCTCTGCTGCGCCCTGGGAGGGC